CGTTCGTAGTAATCTGAATTATGGCATACTGGTTTATGTCAAAGCATTCTGACAAACTACAGTAACTAAAATGAAAATATGAGCTGAGTGCCAACGTCCCTAGCAAGAAGAAAAAAATAAGAAAGCAGTCTTCTGGGATTTGGCACCGTGTATATGTGGTGTTAACCGAATCCCAGAAGACTGCTTTCTTCATAGTCACCGCCGGGAAAGCCTCAAATCTTACACAAGAAAAAAAAAATACATTAATTCTGAACATAAATTTTTCATAAGCATACAAGATTGTCTACAATCGAGATTTATCTCGATACATAATTCAAACTTGACGTCGAAAAGTGTACTTTCTCTAAACGTCATGAAACTGAAACAAATCAATACTGAATTCAGGACACTAAACTGGAGAAATGCCTGGTGCCACTTAGTCCAGATTCGTTTGCATTCCTGTCTGCTGTTTAATAACGTAAAGATTACGATCTACAAAACTACATGGTAACCTGGTGTTCTGTAGGAGCGCAAACCTTGATCTCTCACATTAAGGGGAGAATGGGATGCTGAGAAGACCTGAACTGAAGAAGGTGGAACTGACAAGGTTATTGTGAAGACTGCATAAACTTCATAATCTGTACCCCTTATCAAGTACTACTATGATGACCACATCAAGGAGGATGCAATAGACAGGCTTGTAGCACACATGAGATATGAGACATGCATACAATATTTTGATCAGAAAACCTGAAAGGAAATGGCGATAGAGGGTGCTGACTGGAGCCACTTGTACAGGATAGGAACCAGTGACAGGCTGTTATGAACATGATAATAAACTTCTGCTTCTAGGTAACCTGGTGATTGTGGGGGTATGGCAATGGACACTCATTCAGAGGATTCAAAATTCAACATGCAGTTAGGTCTGCATGTGGTTCTTCTGCAAAGAGAATGAAAACTTCACCTATACCAGAGAAAAAATCTGAAAATACCAAGAATACCAAGCCCCCTTACCCAGTTCAGATCTTACATTAAGTTGCAGGTCCCCTCTGCTAGCCACCATTTTCATGTTCACCCTATTCTTGACAGTACCAAAACCCTCCTTATGGATGCCCCAATCNCAACAACAACAACAGGAAAACCAGGAAAAACAAACCTTTAGATTCCACAAAAGGAGGAAGAATTTTTTAAACAGCTGAATGACTATTAACCTGTCAAAAAGGGGTTAGTAAGCTGAGCTATATGGAGCACAACTAAATGAAATTGGAAGGAACAAAGCTCCTGTAATTACAAAATTTTATACACTTGGTTGTTGACTTACGACCAACTTTCATTCTGACTGACAGGCCATAAGTCGATCTGGTCATATGTCGGCCATATATTTATTAACAGTATTTTTTAACCTTTCTAATCTTTTTATCATCTTTATAATTTATTTTTAAAAACTTTTACATTTTAATCATCTTTTATTTTTCATTTTTTTGCGGTCGTTAAGTCGCATAGGTCATAAGTCGACGACCAAGTGTAATAGTTATGGTACAAGGGGGGAGGCAGCATCTCCTTTTAAAATTAAAACTGTGAGATGAGGTATGGGGGGGGGGGATGAGTGCGTTTGCAACGGGTAGGTGATGAAACAATTCTAAAGTGCACTCAATGAATTCCTTTTGCCATGTGTGAATAAATGGGGGCATGTGGGAGCGTAGTTGGTTGAGGCACTATGCTACAAGCCGGAAGTCATGGGTTTGGGTTCTGATGAGGTGGATTTCTTCAATTTACCTAATCCTTCCAGCTGCACTATGGTCCTGGGGTCGACTCAGCCTCTAACAGAAATGAGTACGAGGAATCTTCCTGTGGGCGAAAGGGCAGCTGACGCATAAGGCTGAAAACCCTACCGCCTTCTGTGAGCCAACTGTCTAAAAAATGTGGGACCCTCAACGTCTCACAACACCATGGGCCTCCACAGCCTGTTGCAGGGATAGCAAAATTGCTTCAGCCCTATGCCATGTCAGTCATTATCTGTTACAAATGTTAAAGATGGGATGCAGTGTGATATGTTTAGTGTTCTAAAACACAACCATGCGTGAAACAGTTACAGTAAACCCTTGTTATAACCAAATGATTAGGGGGGACAGGGTGTCCATTACTGCCGATGTCCACTATGACCAAGCAAAGGGATATTCACGGAAGTACACCATAGGAAGCATAGCCAATATATGTGATAAACACAGAAACACACAATGTGATTATGTGCATGTTTTTATATTGTGGTTCTTTTTATTTTAAATAGTTTTATAACCACAAAACCTTCTTAGTACCTCATCATCTCTAGAAATTCATAACTGTACACAGCCAGATTTTGTCTATTATATCTGGGTCTGTTATAACAGGAGTTTACTGTATATGAATAGCCACAAAGCCAGATGCATCAGTTTTCAACATTCATGAAACCTAACATGAGGAACAAAAGCAATGATACCAAAAACTGTATCCAAAAAGAACAAGACACAAATTGCAGTTATCAGTACTTTCAAACAACTGACTCTGTACAAAAGGCATAATCTACATATAAAAAATTATAAGAGTTCACATACATGACATGACATAAAATGACATAGGACGTTTACAAGATGCCACAAAGGTAAAGTTGTAACTGTCCTTAACTAATTAAGCACTATGCCATGAAGGTGTATGGAGGAGTGGATGTAGAGATCCACATTTTCTTGACCTTGGCACTGGCTGGAGGTCAGTGGTCAGCTTCAGCCCTGGCTGATTTACCCCTGGGGAAAGAGCCCCCAGTACCAACCGGATAGAATTCTTGATCTTATCAGGACTCAGACTCCGACCCCTTGGTCGTCCAGCCTGTAGCCAGTTGCTATAATGACTGCTCTATACCAGCTCAAAATAAACAGAGGTTACTTCCAAAATATGCCTCACACACACACACACACACACACAATGGTAATAATGACATTCATAAAACTCAAAGGTTTCCTAGTCCATCCTTAGATAATCATAAAACTCATAAGAGTTATTTTCTTTCAATTCCTTCTAATAAACGTGTATAACTGTACGTACCTCTCTCTTCCACCCAACCCTTTAATCGAATCAGAACAGAATTCAGAATATTCATTAGTGATGTATTAATAATGCACACTGTCACACAACAGATACATCTGTTCTTGAACCGGTACCTAACTTCCCTATTGACAAACTGCAGGTCACATTTTTTGCCAAAGTCAAAGACTTCACTCCAGATCAAGTCCACAGACTTTTCATGTTTTTAATCTTTAATGCAAGGTTTTAACAGCAGCATATGAGCTCTCTACCTCTGGCTCCTTATTACTTGTTACAGGCCAATGACAATCTTAATCCACTGCAGATTTCTCTGGTAGCATGAAGTCCGCAGATAAAACATACGTGTATGATTTACTAATATGCAAGATCTCTGAGAAGTTAGCATATGTCACTGTATGTAGGGCAGGCAAAAAGTTCCCGGAATTCCCCTGCAGACAGAGAACGAGCGATAAGATACTGCAAACACTGTTGTGGTGGGAAGCTCAGCATGTCTGTTCACATGTGCAACAGGTCTGGACAGGTTTCGGTGTGCAGTGTCGGTGTGCAGTGTCGTTACTGTTCCATTTGAATTAGACGTGAGTGTTGCTCATTCAGCGCAATGTCACAGTTCGAACAGTGTGCAAACATCAAGTTCATTTTCAAATTGGGAAAATCTGCTTCAGAGATGCTATCGGCCCTGCAACAAGTTCATGGTGATACTGCACTAAAGAAATCCAAAGTTTACATCTGGTTTTCCCAGTTTAAGAATGGGTAGGAGACGTTAGAGGATGACCAGCGTAGTGGGAGACCTTCAACATCCAGAACCGAAGAAATGATTGGAAAAGTGCGACAACTGATTCGATGTGATCGAAAAATGACCATCGCAGAGTTGGAGCATGAAGTTTGTACTGTTACCGGCCATTTCTACATGCAAGTTTTGCAGAGGTTGCACGATGCGGTTCGGAGGAAGCGGCGTGACAAGTGGCAGGGACAGTGGTTTCTGCATCACGATAATGCACCGAGCCACACATCGCTTGTTGTGCAGCAATTCCTCACTGAGAAAAACATTCCTGTCATCACTCAACCACCGTACTCTCTGGATCTCGCTCCGAGTGACTTTTGGCTGTTCCCTACTCTGAAAATGGGCCTCAAGGGTACACATTTCACAACCACGGAGGACATCAAATCGAATGCGACGGCTGAGCTCTCCAATAGAAGCCTTCCACCCCTGCTTCCAACAATGGCAGGATCGATGAAGCAAGTGTGTATGTGCGCATAAGGGTCCTACTTTGAAGGTGATTAGATAAGCGTTGCCATATGTCCTACCATTAGAGTGCTATACCACCATTCGGGGAACTCTTTGACTGACCCTCATATATAATACAATTACACATATCAAATGTGGATTATATGACATCTCTCTGACTTCAAACATCACTCAGAGCATTAATTTTTAGCGTACATTTCTTACTCACCCCTTGCTTGCTGAGCCTGACCATAGAAAAACATGCCAGGAATGTGAGAGTGCTTGGGCATAAAATGCCATTGCATATAAAAACCCACCATCCTTCCACACATTACCTTCAAACCACCATGGACACAAACAGTGCAAAGTCTTTCCTTTCCTCTACACAGCAATACATTACATTCGATGCCATGTGTTGACAGAAATGCTCTACCACATGATTAATACTAGTCAATCTCTTTGGTTCTTGTAGTTTTCCAGCTGTATAGTAAGCTGACTTGACCAGCCTGAAGCATGCAAAAGGTTAAGGATAAAGCAGGCATATGATATAACTATTCTCTGTGGGTTTGTGTGTGCGTGTGTTCATGTGTGTATATGCACGAGGGCATGTATGTACTCATATGTGCTTATAACAGCTCCGAATTCAGCACACTGTAGTTTTAACATTGGCTTTGTAACAGTATTCAACTAATCATAAAAGAAAAGAGTATTTTCAGCTTACCTTCCGACATGTTTGAGAGTTCGTGCAGGTCTCACTGGGTGATCCCACGCACAACGATATGCGTGACCTCCTGCTGACACAAGAGTGCCACAAGAAGATGCAGGGGATGGAAAACTGACCAGAGTATCACTGTCTGAAGTTGGGGACACAGCAGTCACCAGTGTGTCACTGTCAGAGTCTGCAATCATAACAGTTTATGGAATACTGTTCCAATAAGAAGCTAAACACAGATATGAGTACGTCCCTGTCATTCAAGCTGAGAAGGGTGGATGGGATTTATTGACAGAATATCCATTACACTTGCTTGATGCTATAGTGTCTCGATCCTGATAGTGTTGTTAAACAAGAAACTTACATCATGAAACTATACATCAAAGATCAGACAATTTTTTCCCTTCCTTATCTGCTCATGGACTCCGTAGCTGAGTAACGTTATCTGATTTTATTGAATTTTCCAGAAGAATTTTAGGCCACCACCATATTTCGTCACATATTTTATGCACAACTAAAATGATATATCCCAATATACCGTAAATTGCATTATAATGCACGAAATATGAAAGAAACAAAATATTTTCATCAAAGTATTAAAGGGATATCAGCAAATATAAAATCCACATCTCATGATTTGCAATGTGATCTAGTCATTCAAAAGTGACAAGCATGATGATGTACTCCACTGAAAAACAAGGCCAACAAAAGAAAACTGAATTAAAAATTACATTATGAATTTTAATGTCAAATTTACGCTCTTCTATGGAAGGTTTTCACGGCGGTGACTATGAAGAAAGCAGTATTCTGGAATGTGGCACCATGTAGATGTGGGGTTAACTGACGTTTCGGAGGAATGTATCACCTTCATTAACCAGGTCTGCCTGTACCGGTTCTCACGGTCTCTTCGCTTGCAGATTTTATTATTTTTCCTTCTAACCTGAAGATGGAGGTGATACGTTCCTCCAAAACGTCGGTTAACACCACATCTACACGGTGCCACATCCCAGAAGACTGCTTTCTTCTTAAGATTTTCTATTTTCATATTTCATATAAAAAAACAGCATGTGGTTTACATCAGGCCAGTTCATTTCAGGTTTTCAAATTTTAAATTACATCTTACTGTATTTTAGTAAGCTAGAATGGGCAGCACCCTTTAAATTTTACTATGTTAAGAGCAAAAGATTAACTGCATATAAGGCTGACTCAATAATTTCAAAATTATATTTCACTTTTATAAACAGATCAAGCAGAAAAGTTATTTTCCTTTCACTCTTCTCATTTCTCAAATATATTATGCACCCAAGATTTTGGAGAAACTAGTGTGAAAATTATGTATTGGAACATTCTACATGGCATTCTGTGGAAGCCCACGGTTATTAAATAGACTACCAGATCTTCAGCTTAACTGTGGCAATGGAGCTATGGATTTGTTATGTGTCTGTAGAGCTACGTCACTCAACAGTGGTTTTCTGAATCAGTGACAATCATGAAAGGTTAACAATTCCATATGTATGTCCTCTGTCATCATCACTGAATCTTGGTTTACTTCATGATACTTTTACAACTGCAATGGTTATGTAGCTTTGAATGTGGATAATGAATTTGAAAGAATTAGGAATCAAGCAGTTGTGACAGTGTCTCTACATTTCCACTGACAGACTGAGGAAAACCATAAAAATCTCACAAGATAACTGAAACACAGATATGAATCTTGAGGCTACCAGATCATGAACCAGGAGAGCAAGCTACTTGGCTGCAACATTCTGCATTTGTCTTTATATCCTGAGGGTTATAATTCACATGCAATTTGACTTTTAAATGACATTTTCAGTAGTTTTGGATTTCATAATTTACATTTATTATTTATACAAAAATAAACATGTCATTATGACAATATATACCGTTAGGCTATCCGGGACAAACAGCCTTAAGGAGGGAGTAATGTAATGGATTTGCTCAAAACGTTTCTAGGCAGCAGCTTGGTAAACATGAGCAACGTGTAACAATGATAGACGTGAGGGGATGAATGTTATTGTGCATTGCTAGGCAACAGCGCACCAATGAAGATGCTGGCTATGAATCACGTGACTGTTCTCTGTGTGGTCTTCCTTATGCAACAGCAGAACTCTGTCTTCTGTGCAGGGTCCATGCAGAGGCTATATAGGGAGAATAACGCCAGAAGTTCAGTTCAGTTCCGCAGTTCAGCAGCTGAGTTGAGAGGACAGGTGAAGGCAATTGAGAGACTAGTGTGGAGTGCAGTGCAGTTATGACTTCTACACAATTCAAGAGAAGATTATAAGAGCAGCGAAGATAATGGACTGACAAACATAATCCAATTGCAGTGTTTCGGAGGCTAGAAATGAAGATTAGAATTTAAATGTTGAAGTCTTTCCTTTATGTGTTATTATTCCAATAATAATTTGGAGTGTTATAATCTTTTGTAGTTACGACTGGTAGTTATCCAACAGATTGACTGCCAATCCAAACCCGTGTCTTAGTCACTAATACGTGAGATAGTATACTTGTACCACTCCATAACGCAGCTCAATCTGGTATCCAGAATGTGTAGTAGGCTGCAACCTAGGTGCATAAATGAAATTTTTTGAGTTGAACTTTCTGTGTGTTATATATTTCAACTGTAACCTTAAACATGTTATGAGTAACAAAAGATGAAAACGCCAAATATCGTTTACAGACTCCTGTAGTTACCATATTTTCAGTTGGACACTGCCACCTAAAAGGACACCTTTTCAAACTGGGACTGACCAGGAATCCTCCTGGGGACAAAGGGCAGCCAGTGCGTAAGGCTGACAACCTCACTGCCATCTTTGAGCTGACGGTCTAGAAAATGTGGGAGCCCTGAGGACTCACAACCATATGGGCCTTCATGGCCTGTTATAGGGACAGCATTACCTTACAAGCATATGAGATACAATCAATAATATATGAGATAATGAACACACCTGCCTCAAAGGCATCATAAAACTCATCATCAGATGTATCATAGAAGCGAGGACTCCGACAACTGTGTACCGAACTACGGTGTTGCTCTTGAAGGGATGGACTAATGGACAGGTGTGAGGCCATTGACTGCTCCAGTTCATGGTGCTCCTTGGCAAGCACATTTAGTGCTTCTTCAAGCACTCTGCACTTTTCTTGTTCTTGTTTCAGTTGCAACACTCGAACCTTGTAACAAACAAAACAAAACATGTTTCAAGAAATACATGATTACATATATGAACATAATCGTTCGCAGGGTCCATCAAATAAAACTGTTTTAGCTAGTTATATTTATTTTAGAAGGCAATATTGCTTATGATATAACAATGTCTGGGTCCCTCACTGTCCATTGCTCCCTAGTAACTTCTGAACCAATACTCAGATTTTCACAGAACTAAATATAAATGTCAAGCCACTCTACCTCTGTACATATTATTAATGATCTGAAGCATATTTGAGGAGCTCAGGTACTCAGGCAGTGACATAATGAGCCCAATCTCAGGTAGTGTTGAGCCAAATTTAGGACTTACACAGCTTCATTGCAAGCCATATGTTATAATGGAAATACAAGTATACAGTCAATACACAGTCAACATGTGTGCATGTATAGTACACTACATAATGCATGTAATGATCACCAACAAATACTTTTGATATGTTTGGTGTTAAATATTGCTGCCAATAGTAGGCTGTCCTGCTTTGCACACTTTCCAACTGAAGTAAGTAAAAAAAAGTAAAGCTATCCCTGTAACAGGCCGTGAAGTCCCATAGGGTTGTGAGGCATTGAGGGTCCCACATTATCTAGACAATCGGCTCAAAGATGGCGGTAAGGTTGTCAGCCTTACACGCCAGCCACGCTTTAATCCCCAGAAAAGTTATTTAATTGCTTTCCAACTAGATAACAAAATTCTATGGACCTCCCAGCTAAATTATTCTGTTAACAATGAATTTGTTAAGACAGCAGTGGATGATGAAAGAACACCTTTGTAGGCTTATTCTATACAATGACACTGCAATAAATGCTACCACTCAAAAGTTAACATTTAACTATGCCTCTGCTTCATAGAGTTACATCTATCAAGAAGCCCATTATAACACCATTACCTGTGTTACAGTAATTTCTTCTAGTATTTGGACTCCCATAAGATCAAGACAACCTTCTGGATTGTAAAATATCATATTGAGAATGTCATTTTTTTTTATAATTAACATCTCCCTAGTTTTCCACGCCAAACTTCATTTAACATGACCATCTATCCTACTTAGCAGCTCAACCTTATTTTGTTCTATTTGGTTTAATATAGGCTACTGGTAACAGTACATGGGTTTGGTGTTATATGGAGCCAGGAGGGTCAGCCTCTCTCATTTCCACTCAGTACAAACTTGTGTACAGGACTCACACAGACATTGCACACTTAGAAAAGGCCACTCAAGCAAGTTCAAGCACCAATGTCATATCACTTGAGCTCCTTGAGCCTGGCTTGGTAACATCCCTAATTTCACCTTCCTATTAACAACACAAACATGGTGTACTGCAATAGCTGAGAACAAAGCAACTCTATCATCACTTAATGAGGTAATGTGTTGAAATTTTGTCTTGTACTAGACCTTCAAAGAACATATAACTTTTAAAGCAATTTTTTTTACAGAATGTAAACCTGTGCCATGGAAGGTGTCAAAAATTCTTCATATGAAACATTTTTCTCTATCATCAAATGCAAACACGGCTATAGTGCATAATTTTCAGGTTACATCTGCCTAACGTAATGTAATCTGTGCTTAGTTATCTAAAATGGTCTTCCTTTGAATTTTCTGGTTATATACTGTAAACCAAAATAAGAAAACGCAAGGCTAATTCGATTGGTCATATCTTACGCGGTAACTGCCTACTAAAAGAAGTTATTGAAGGAAAGATAGAGGGGCGGATAGAAGTGACCAGAAGACGAGGAAGAAGACATAAGAAGATGCTGGATGACCTTGGGGACAGAAGAGGATATTTTCATTTGAAGGAGAAAGCTCTAGATCGCATCAAGTGGAGGAACTGTTTTGGAAGAGACTGTGGACCTGTCGTCTTCACAGATTACAGATGAATGAATGAATACTGTAAGCACAGCTCATCTCCCCGTGCTTAATATACATCCCATCCAACTCTCAATAAACAATTATTTCAATATTACATCAATCATAGTCAAAACATTTTAACAGTGGAAGTTTTATATAAAGAATTATATTTATCAATATGCTTTCAGAACTTATAACAGTTAAATATAATGTTACGTACCTCTTCTTGCTGTTCAAACAGTGACAGGCAATGGCCTAGTGACTGCAGCATGTTGCCAGCTGTGTCTGACATGAGCTGAAACCTCTGAGAAACAGAGAAAAATAACACTGTTAGATTTCTTTAGTATTCAGTACAACAAACATCAGCACTAACATGACAAAACTGCCAGAATCTTTTGTGAACTGAATAACACAAGAGAATTCTCTGTGCCTAGGAAATAACGCAGAAAGTGCTGAAAAACAAATGTTTGTGCCATCTCTCATCATATACATAATCTATATGCACAAGAAATATATTCTCAAAGTACCAGTCAGACCACATCATGGCAGGTATGGTAGAAACTGCTTCATTGCCTCAATCAACCCAATGACAGAGGCATGGAAGGAGTTAATATTACATTACCTTAATGCAAACTACATGACAATGACTGTTTATTTATAGAAATTAGATGTAACAACATGTCCAATAATACAATTAATTATCATATGCAGAGTACAGTCTTCTGGGTTGCAGTACCATGTACTTCAGAGACAGCCCAACTTTTCAAAGGAACAAACTACCTTCATATTTGTTATTGTCACTTCTACGTGGATCAAATAATAAGTAAGAATCAGTGTTCAAGCTAACCCTGCTTTATTAAGACTAACTTTTGATACACAATGGCGTTTTATATACATTCACATACATAACCATGGTAACACATAACAATAGAGAGATTCTGTTTCTACACACATAACCATAGTAACACATAACAATAGAAAAATTAGGAACAGTGCATGTAGCACAGTCTATTATTGAAAATTGTTTACTACGATGTTGCCAACTCTAGCATTATATTTTAACATTTGAGTTGCCAACATAACAATATTCAGGGTCAAAGGGTTAGCCAATCAAAAGCCAGCAGAAGCAGGCAGGCTGGTTCTGTTTTGGGGTCCATCTGAAAGTACTCTATTTTCAAAGTTGGAATGTTTATAGTCACCAGACACCAACAAATGATACATAAACTTTTGACCACCAAATATGAATAAAATCAATCCAACCATTTGGGCACTAATGCGACTCACATCCTTACACAGATACAGACATAACCAGATGGCGTACCAAACACTCTCCTTCATAGTTGAGGGAGGGGGCTCAAAATGTATAAATCAGTCAAAATCTCAAGATAACTTTTTCAGCATCAAATTTTTTCTAATACATACTCCATATATGAGAAAGTAAAAAGAAACATATGTATGAAAGTTCATTTCCTTACACTATGAACATATTTCAGTGAAGTGCAGAATTCAAAGCTTAAATCTGACTTACCAGAACAGCAGTGCTAGAGAAAGCATTACAATGAAGGCTGTTATTTGACAATGCTTCAACAATGGCAACACTGTCAGTCAACTGGCTTTCCAGTACTTTGTGATGTGCAGCAGCTGTCTGTAAGGCATCCTGCAATATAAAGAAATCCTCTCATTAAGAAAGTAATATTAGGACCATACTGCAGACATGATGCACTTTATGATCACAAAGGTTTAGATGAGAATATTTAGATATGAGAAAGGAAAGAAACTGCATGAAGAACAGCTTCATAATTTCTACTTGTAATCTGTCACTTCTGGATAGGTAGATGGATCAACATGACAGAAATGTCCTTACGTGACAATGACTCCTTTGGCTCGAGATAAGAGCAAGACATTTAAAGAGTCAAACTGAGAACATTTTCAGCCACTTTTCTTGTACTCCATGTAAGTTGTCGTTACTAACAATGGGACAACTAGGTACTCAGACAGATTTTGCTGATGTAGCATCCTATTGCACTTTTCACTTGTGGTGATCATTCACTGTCCTATGTGCAACACTATAAAAACAGTGAATGATCAATACATGTGAAACTTGCAGCAGGAGGCTACAATATTATGAGAAGTAAAAGTAAAAGTAAAGCTATCCCTGTAACAGGCCGTGAAGGCCCATAGGGTTGTGAGACGTTGAGGGTCCCACATTATCTAGACAATCGGCTCAAATATGGCGGTAAGGTTGTCAGCCTTACACGCCAGCCGTACTTTACTCCCCAAGAAAATTATTTAATTAATTCCTAGTACTCATTTCTGTTAGAGGCTGAGTGAACCCCAGGGCCATAGTGCGGCTAGAGGGATCAGGTCAATTGAAAAAATCCAGTGACCTCATCAGGACTTGAACCTGCGACATTCCGGCTTGTAGCATAGTGCCTTAACCACTACGATACCGCACGCCCCATATTATGAGAAGTAGTCAAACTAAAAGTATATACAGACAAGTTTTTATTGTGTTGCACATAAGACAGTGAATTATCGATGCAAGATTTTGCTGAGAAGTTCATTCCTGCTAGTGTTGCCAATCATTATAATTCTCAAAAGAGTTTTCAAAAATTTTAGAATTATGAGCCAGGAAAATCAATATTCAAATCGAGATAAGACATTACTTTCTCAATTCAACCTCAAATATTCAAAACTCATGCGTTTAGACACAGTTAACATGTGATACACCAAACAAAAGAGCCAAAGGCAAATAAAAATTATGTTGGCAACAGACTTGTAACTTACAGCTGTTAATTTAAGATGAACTTCATTCTGAAATAGCCACACGTTGAGTCAGCGAAAAAAATTGGTATTATCTGAATACTATTTTAAATAGTCATTTAATGTGAGAAGCTGTGTAACATAATTTCCATTGGTTGTTACCTGCATTGAACCAAGCGGTTTAATATTATCTTCATCATCACTATCATCGAACTGTACATGACCTTGAGTGAGGTAGTGTGTGCTGAATGCTGCATGCTCTGTGAAGGCATTGATCCATTTCTGAAAATCGCAAAGAAAGTAAAATAGCAAACTAGTACAGATCTCAGTTACATTTCTACCTATTTCAGATATTCTCAAGCAGATGTGAAGGAAAGAGACAACTCAGGATATGAAGACAGATGGGAGAGTACGAGAACAGGTGTTAAGAGAAGCTGCCCTAATCTACATTTATATACATATAAACAGTTTGAACTATAACAGTGCACAATCTAATCTTACTCTCTTTTCCCAGTTACTATTCAAGATAGATTATTACGAAGGGGCTTTGTTTGGGAATTTTCTCTTGAAGCAGCTCTTAGTTAAGAAAACTTACAGAATTTTGACAACACTTAATACATGGAGTTAACAATACTTAAGAGATAACAGGATGAGAACTGTCACTAAGTTGTCCATTTTGCCACTCTGCTAATGAAAGACTAGACCATATCTCTATCTCTCTCTCTCTGACACACACACACACAGACAGAGCCTGCTTGAATCCATCATTATTTTTTAAAACAAGGATGACATTATGACCAACCAGTGACTATTATTGGCTTTGAACTTGAACCATGCAACGGTTCTTCTCCATTAAGTTCCTTGGAGTGGCCTCTCCGGACACCAGGATGCGAGCCAGTTCTTTCTTCCCCGCTGACATCCTTGGCTGACGTCAGAATCACGTGCCTCCCCCCCTCTCCTTAGCGTCATTGCGAGCCTTCGTGGTAAGTCAAGATAAGCGATCGTTCTCGTCTTCCCTTATATCTTCACCTGGTAACATTGCTACAACTAAATTTGGTTTTGGAACAATTACGATGATGATACTGAAATTTTGTTTCGGCACGTAGCGCAGATCGAAGGGGGAGAAGTAGCCCTCATGAGCTAGTCGGGCTGGCTGGTTTGTGAGGTAAATGTTTTGAGTTTTTTGGGGCCAAACTGCAAGTAAGTGACTTACTGGATTTGTGCACGCCGTGAGGTGTATTGGCTTTGGTTGTATACGCCGTGTGGCGTGGTTTAGTTGATTTGCTGCACCGTGAGACGCGGTCGAATTTTGGTTTTGGTTAGAGGTTGTAATATTCAAATATTTTAGTAGTTTTCAAAATTAAAACAAAGAGGATTGCATTTCTGTTGAAGATGCTGAACATTAAGAGCATTATTTCTCAGCACTGAGGATCAGATCTTCAGTCCACAGAGATGAACTCTGAATGAAATGATGTGTGACGAAAACAAGCTGGGACATGGCAGATTGGAGACTGCTTTCTCCACCATCACAATATTCTCACAAATTCTGCTTTGCCTATGCAGCAATTTCTGGCTTCAAACTGTACAATTGCCTCTTCACACTGCATACTCCCCAGATCTAGTCATGTGTGCCTTTATACAGTTTCAGTATATCGTACTCATGTCAATATTCATGGGGAAGAAATGTGATAACATCAGGATAAGAAAATCACAAACTCCTTTTGTGAAGTTAAAAAATATAGCAACAACCAACTTTCAAGCATGTATGCAGACTGTGGTGTGCTGGTTGCGTGAGAAAAACTCTTACAGAAAAACAACTAAAAGTTAAAACAACAAATTTTGCTTCATTTCTTGCATGGGACACTTGCTAGATGACATAGCAGACTGACAGCTGAAAGATTTCAAACACAGATACTCTAATGCAATCATAAATTCAACTAGCTTCTACTGTAATGGCAAATGCATGAGGGACAATGATGGGTAGTGCTACTAGCAGCAGGTGAACATATGCACATCATAAATTTCTTTCTGAATAACTCTACAAATATAAAGATTCTACTTTAATTTTCACCATTTGGATGAGAATTCCATACACTGGACAACTGATTCTAAAGGGTTCTGATGATGGTGTATAACACTCAGAATTACTGGGTTTTTGGACTTCGTCTATCATTCAGTATTCTCAAAAAACTACAGAATATGACGTTTCAGAAACTGGACCTGTTTCTGCCCTCAAGTGAGGTGGCAGGACAACTACTCTGTTTGATGCATTAGAAAGAGCTAATCTCAATCACTGGACATAGTCCAAAACTTTGTATTCTCTACTTTTTCAGAATACCAGATGATGGATGAAGTCCAAAAACTCAGTAATTCTGAGAGTTTTAGAATAGATGGACTTGCTGCAACAGGTCAGAGTGGGCCGCCAAGAACAGCACCAATGCTGATCTCCACAATTCACAAATCACCACAGCACCTGCTAAGTCTTTCCAGCTTGCTGTTTCTTCACCTGCCATTCCCTGGCAATGGCTTCTAACAGTGCAAATTCTTCAGCTTCACATGCTCAAGTCCTCTCTGATAGGTTGCTCCCTTCCAACTGTCTCTTTTCCTCACAGACTCCCGTACAAAACTGACTTGGTTGCCCCTTATAACCCCTTGCGTGGACCGAGTAGAAAAAACTGTTTCGAACCATACCTCTATTATTGCAAGCTTATCTGTTGCCATGGGAATGTGTTTACCAAGCTGTTGCCTACAAATGAATGTTGTTTCAGAGCCATTTGCTACCAATGGCTGTTTCTCTGGCTCCAAAGTTCTTGCGTTGAGCACATATGCCACAGTACAGAGAATTGTTCTGTCCAGAAACTTTTTTATTGCACCCTATACTTCGATTTCAGAACATTCAAATCATCTGTAACCTATAATCAGTTGCAGAGCATTATGAATCTGTTCCATCTGTTCCTGATTATGGTTTAATGTCATGTTCATATACTTCATGAATGTTAATTGCTAAAATGTGTTTTAGGAAGGATAAATTAGAATATACGACTCCTACAATATTTTTATAATGTTCTAAGATGTAAGGAAATGCAGTACTTGGTTATTTACTTGAATCTGAAATAATAAACATACCTGCCTACTGATCTGTCCTGTAGTTTCTCCATAGTTGACAACGCTCAGCCTATGGACAGCTCCATCAGAGAAGTGCACCATAAATGTGGAGGAATCACATTCTAATGGCACAATATTGGCTCCATCTTCATATTTGAAGTCTTTTCTTTTAAAGCCTGTTGCTGCATCTGCTCGATTGCTGAAGTAAGTTAACACTCCACGTTCTAAAATGGCCTGAAAACCAAAAATAATGCTTATCTACACGGCCCATTAATATATCCTAAGAAAGAAGTTCTTGGAAGAACTTCCAATAATAATTTTCCTTCAAGTATTTTTATCTGTATACTGAGATCCATAAGCACCATAAATTAATAATTATATCATCAGCGATCCAGTTCAACATGTAAACAGAATGCAAGATACGGAACTACCAAAATTAACATATCTATATAATCCAGAAGGATAGACATGGGAAGACAGATATACACAGAAATGCCAGTTTCTGAAAACTGGAAAGGCTTGTTGCAGCCAATCTTTGAGTTGCAAAGGGAACAAGGAAGAGATCCATTTCTGTGCATAATCCCCTTCATATTCCAACTATGTTATATCTGCCAGCTACATTGGCAACTACAAACTTTCGCTCTGTCACCAAACATGTGAGTGCTGATATGTATGCAGTATCTTCATATACGAGGGGGTACCCAAAAGAAACCGAACTTATTTTTTTTTTAACTTATTTATTCAAATTTTAAGCACAAACCTTCAATCCCCTTCAAAGTACTCTCCACTTACACTAATACACTTGTCTAGTCTTTTATTCCATTTTTCAAAACATTGTCTAAATTCATCTTTTGAGATGCTTGACAGCGCCACCATCGTTTTTTCCTTTCCTGTCTCTTTTCATCCGAGGAAACAAAAAAAAAAAGTCGCACGGGGCAAGGTCGGGTGACGAACAGGGGTCATACCATTTTTGGTCAAGAATTGTTGTACAGACAGGGCTGTGTGAGCAGGGGCATTGTCATGATGGAAAAACCAGTCACCCGACTGCCACAAATCTGGCCGCTGAGCTCCAAGTCACTCCCGACAGCTCCACAATTTCTTCAATGGTCCGTCGTCGATCTTCCTTGATGATTTCACGAATTTTTTCAACATGTTCATGTGTTCGGACTGTGGAAGGACGACCAGAATGAGGTTTGTCATCAATTGACATTTCACCATTTTTGAAACGGGAAAACCACTCAAACACTTGAGTTTTCCCCATAGCATCGTCCTTGTACGCCGTTTTTAACATTTCAAGAGTTTCTGTTCCACTTTTCCCGAGCAAAAAGCAGAATTTCACCGCCGCACGCTGTTCACGAAAATCAGCCATTGCAAAAATGACGATCACACAAAACAGTTGTCACTATAAACTCTGCCGAAAATAGTCCTTACCTTCTGAAGCAATGGTAGTCGGCTTATCGACTCAGGAATGTTAGCTCTATGCACTCATAGCGGCAAAACGCGGTACTACAAAAGCTCTGCCCACAAAAAAATTAGTTCGGTTTCTTTTGGGTACCCCATCATACAATTTGTAGGTTTTTTACAGACTCTTCCCACACAATGTCACTGGCTCATTATTGGCATGAAACCAGAAGTGAAACATAGATTTTGTACAGTTGCCATTCTGTTGCTTTATTGTCTAAAAATTACACAAACAAAAGATGCATATTTTTAAAAAATCTTATACCATACAAAGTTTCAGAACCCCAAATTCTGGTATGTTGCACAAATGTTGATCTAAACTAAAAAATTCTCATTGCTGCCATGTTAGCATTACTGATAGAATCCTGTCACACCTCATAAGGCCAACATGTTCTTTGCATTTTCTTCTGTTCCATAAATTCTGTTTCTTGTGAAATGCCGTGGTTCCCTCATAAGAAAAATACCAATACATTATAATGTACATGGTTTGCTGATGACAACACTGATGAACACAGATCATAAAGAATGCTGTCTTCTGGGATGTGGCACCGTGTAGATCTTGTGTTAACAGACATTCCTCTGAAATGTCGGTTCACACAAGATCTACACGGTGCCACATCCCAAAAGACAGCATTCTTCATAGTCACCGCCATGAAAACCTCAAACCTTATGACAAAGATCAAGTTATGTTTTGCATTATTATACCCTGTATGACATCCCACCTACCATCAGGCACACAGGACAGAAGAGAACTAAATTGGGAACATAAAAGCACAGATAATGAAGTAAAACTGACCCATATGGGTTTCCATCCTAGAAATCTTGATCTCTTAAGCAGCTGACCTTCAAATCTTGTAGCTGACTTTTGCAGCTGTCTGACTGGACGAACACACAACACCTGCTGCATCTGTGAATCTCGTGCAAGTTCTACTGCTGTCTGCCCTGGTGTGTGACACAGAAACAAAAGCATTTGTGTACATCATGTAAGTGCAAACACATGATCTTGAATGACTGCAAAATCCATATAACTGGTGATCAGATTTTCCTGACAAAAATCTTGAACTTAGCTTGTACCCAGAAATAAACAGCCATTATGCATATATATATACTGTTACAAGTAAACATGCATTTTGTGAGTTACTTAATTTATTTAATGCCACTTTATCAATTACATTGCTTATCAAGTGGAGAATGTCAGGACAATTTGTTGGGAAGAAGTTGCTGGAGGAAAACCACAAAAAGATCTGCATCAAGATAACCAGCCCCCAGGCTGAGACTCAATCTGTAGCACACATCACTTTACACACAAATGCTGCAATCTTTAAAGGGAACAAATGTCTCAAATGTCTCAGCTGGCTCATAGTTTCAGCCCAAAATGCAATGTTTAAAGGTTTTGTAGATTCACATGGCCATATTCCAAATTTGCACACAGAATCTGAATGATACTGTGACGTCTATATCCACTGCTAGGCAACACCTCAGTAAACACATTCCCACAGGAGCCAATGCATGCAACACTAGGACGTCTATCACTAGGCAACGGCTAAGTAAGCACTTGTCCCTAACAATAGAGGCTGTGTTTTCTGCATGGTCCATGCATGTGGTTATAAGGAACAGTTCCAAATGTGGCAGTAGTAGTAGCAGTGGAAGTGAAGAGTCGGGTTTCAAGATGCCAACCTACTGGGATATGAGCTTGGGAGCAGAGGAATTGAATTTAGTCGACAATAATGGCAAGAAAGGAATTAGGNCAAAAAAAAAAAAAAACTTCATGTGTGGTTTGAAGTTACAGTGAGACTGTTATAAACCTGCTGCCAGGATACGACAAGTGAAGACTGAGAACCCTAGTGCTTGTGGAACGGTGAACTGTGAAGTGTGCATATCAGTGATAGTACTGCAATTGCCTGTAGTCCCGAGTTGCATGTATCATCATCATCATCAGTAATCTGTCAGACGACAGGTCCACAGTCTCTTCCAAAACAGTTTCTCCACTTCTCAATAAATCCAATCACCCAAACCAGAATCCGTCTTATGCAACAACTCTAAATTGAGACAATACACACAGCTCCTACATATGCAAATAATACATGCTCATAAAAGACACTTGTTTCTGTCAAGGGTGAGACTAACAACAGCTTTGCACTACAAACAGAAATCAGCAACAGTTGTTATCCAGTGTGTAATTTCCTGGCACTAAAATCATTTCTGAAATATTTTGATGAGACCTCATAATACACTTTTTAGCTTATCACAGGATCAAAACTCCACTTGACCCAATGACCAATCATTCAGTATACAAATTCATAAGAGGTCACTATTGTTGATGTTCTGGTGTTCACTTCAGCAAAGTTACATATCACAAAAAATGGCACAGAATGCAGAGTATTCACTTGACAAATTTACAGATGTGATATTACTGTGTAGAGAAGAGCCTCTGCACATGTGTACACTAGAAAGTATCTGCAACGACAACATCCAAACCACAGGACATACATTTCTCTAGAACATCTGCAAGAAACGGGTCATATGCAGCCCAATATGCCAGACACTGGTGACAGAAGTGCTGCATGCTGCAGGAACAATCAGCTGGCCTGCGGTCACAGCATTTCTCAGTGAAAAGTGGTGAGCGACAGCGTTGCATGATCAACTGCTGCATCAGTCCTGCTTACAGCATAATCTAGTTCTGCAACTTTGGCTGGATTATGAGCACTGAAAACCATTCTGTGAATGGCTACTGCAACCTTCTTAGGTTTCACATGGAATGGGATTCTAGATACTAGTAACCAACATACTATATGGGCAGCAAGCTAACTTAAACTAAACAGACTTAACCTGCCTTTGTAAATAACCAGTGTGGGATGTTGAACTAGGTGAACTGTCCTATAGTATTTATTACAGTTCCACAGGATACATGGACAAACTTGAGTTTGAAAAGTAATAATAACAACAGTGAACACTGTTCAACACTGAACTAGAATTGTAGAACAGTAGAAATCTAGAACTGTAACTGTATCTTGTACACAATGTATCTTCTTACGTAACCTAGAGTCAGACATATAGAAAACCTATCACTGTCTGTATTGTTTATGTGTTGTTGCTAAGCAACGAAGCTTGCGTTGTCACACTTGCTTGAATGTGGGCAGTTCCCACACCAGTAACACTGTGAATAAGCTGGAGTTCATACTTCAATCAATAACACAAATGAGTCCAACATCTCAGAATGCTTAATATATTCCAAAATAATAATTTCATAAAGTAATGCCAAAATTGTATCCTAGGAAACCTAGACTGTGTGCAAGTGATGTACCAGTTCTGCAATTCAACATACAGCAAGTATACATTTCCATTCTTTTAAACGCTACACCTCTACTATTCCATTCAAATTTTCAGCAAATGCCACATCAGAAATTACTCAATTACACAAACTGATTTTTCAAAGAAAAAATAACTTAGCACGGGCTTAATATGCTGTATTATAGGTTACAAACAAATTATGTTTACAAATATATTCTATCATGATAGAAATAAAGTATGAAAAGAAGCTTGTTCACCTCTTGCGTTCCTGATACCAGTGTCGATACCATTCTGCAACAGCAAAACTGCTGCCTCCTTGTGGCCACGATATGAAGCGCAATGCAAACTTGAATTTCCTTGAGCATCTACACAGTTGATGTTAGGGGGATGTTCTTCTTTTAGCTGCATAAAAGTAATGTGAACCACAAATTTTAATCAAATTTAATTATTTTCATCCTACTAATCACAAAATTTTGGGCTGAAGGTTTCTGATGATGGCATGTAACCTTCAATATGGTTATTCTTTTTTTGTGGGTGGAACATTTTCCATCACCTTCAATTTTTTTCCAACCCACGTTCATCAAAATGTGTTTCTTACGATCTACAAGTACAACGGAATGAGCTTTACTCTGCTTACAAGAGAAGTATGAGTGGTGAAGAGTCCTGTGTTTTGTTTGGTCCTCACATCTGTAGTCTCATAAATTTAAAATCTTGTGAGATATGAGGTTCTCATGACTATACACATTAAGAGCATAGACTTCTGGGATGTAACACCAAGTAAGCATCAACATTTTGGGGGACCACTCCTCTTACAACGAACATGGAGGCAGGAGATTCCTCTGAAACATTGGTCCCTATCTACCAAACTATTACAGCATTCCGTATATGATGCCTCCTATTTAAAAAAAAAAACTACAACAAATACAGAAAGCATAATAATGCAGTTAAATAGAGCAAGATTTCAGCTACTTACAGTTATTTTTCCACATAATCACCACATTCGTTATACACTTTTGCCAGCGATTAACAAGAGACTGTATTCCATGCCCGTAAAAGCCTGCGCCAGCAGAGGCTAGCCACTTTCTACAGCTGCAATGACAGCATTTTTGTCTGGAAAGTGTTGCCCACATAGTCCATCTTTCTTAGGCCCAAAGAGATGGAAGTCTGAAGGTGCTAAACCGGGGCTATAAGGTGGATGTGGTAGAACAGTCCAGCCAAACTTTGCAATGTGCGCGGTGGTCGCCAAACTTGTATGGGGTCTAGCGTTATCGTGTTGCAAGCAAAAGGTTGTCTGCTTCTTTGGCCTGACTCGGGAAATGCGGGCTTTCAGCTTAGTCAGCGTCATTTTGTAGCGTTCAGAATTGACAGTCCCTGGTCATTATCTGCTGATCTGTATGGATGAGGCGCTGTTCACTGTGAGGAGTGGCAGCTGAGCAGGGACGCCCAGGGCGTGGCTTGTCATGCACTTCACTTTCACCACTGTTGAAACGCACTACCCACCGCCTCACTGTGCTGACTTCCACTGTATTGTCTCCGTACACCTTTAGCAAGTGTCGATGGATGTCAGTGGATACAATTTGTTCGACAGTGAGAAATTCAATAACACTTCTGTGTTTCATACGCACTTCTATGTCAGACACCATTTTCGTAGACTGCTCTGCTGTCACTATCTGTCGCACGACAACCAAACTAACAGTAGATTGGCAGGAAGGTTCAACCTTTACTACAACACCACCAACATCCATCTCAGACGTTACATATTAACACAAAAAAATAGGAGGCATTATTTACGGAATGCCCCTAGTACATACATCATATTTCACAAGATCAATAACCTTAATTTAAATTACCGCTTACAATAGACAGAAGGTACACTGTCCCTGTGCTTAACTAATTAAGCACTATGCCATGAAGGTGTATGGGGTAGTAGATATACAGACGTTGGCACTAGCTGGAGGAAAGTGGTCAGCTCCACTCCCCTGCCACTTTAAACCTGGGGAAAGAGTCCCCGGTACCCACTGGATAGGAGGCTGGGTGGGCCCCAGAGACAGTCTGGACAACTTGGAGAAGAGAGAATTCTTGAGCCTAATGGGACCCCGAACTCTGACCCCTCAGATATCCAGCCCATAGCCAGTCACTATACCAACCACGCTATCCCGGCTACAAACGAGACAGAATGATAGAATAAATTTATTCAAATTTTCTACATAGAGTTTTAATAGAGGCCATATCCAAAATATACCTTCTGTAATAAAGATCAAGTTTCTGAACTTTCAAAGACATGAACATAACGTGGAGCAAACACTGGATATTACAAAATTTAAGATTTTAACACACTTCCCAACTATGGATAATATCAATATCATACGATTAAACAAGCTCCACATCAAGCTAACTTGATTTTAAACCTTGTGAAGTAAAAGGGATCTTCCTTAACACTTTCCATATCATAATAATGAAAATAAGATGAACAACACATACTAAGTTCCCTCAAAATGGACAGCCAAGTTTTAGAAGGGCACGTAGTATGCACATTAACCAGCTGCAGCTGTTGAAATTATCTGAACAGAAAGCTGAATGGTTGGTGCATAAATATTATTTCTTTCAAATTTCAATAACTATCAAATGCAAGTTATTATTCCATAAATATTAGTGATATTTAGTATATTATTTATGGTCTCTATTTTTAAAACAATTTGATTCACAATTTCCATTGGCAGCTTTAAGTGTATCAAACTTTTATCTGAAATGGGTTCAGAATTTGACAACCAATTGTTCCTATTAATTCATTAGTAGATTATTTAACAATATCTTATAACTTTCACAAGGTTTATTGCTTTTCTCATCTTCTGTAACCCAAAGTAGCATTTAAATCATCCATTTTATTACCACAGTATCACCATCATTACCATAATCTGTCAGTTTTCAGAATTTGTGGCCGTGTGTTGCCTCCTCAGTGGTCTTCCTAAATTTCTCTCTCACTGTGGCCTGAATGCTAGCGTCTGTTTCCATATTCTGTCAGTTTCATTCTTCTCACATGTTATTTCCAATTAATTCCATAATTTATATAAGTCTGATGACTGGATGAATTCTTAATTTTACAATGTCTTAATTTCGTTTATAATCAAATTACATGCAATCTGAAGTTCTCTTCATAAATCTCAATTCAGAAGCCAACAATCTTTTTTTCATCCGGTTTTCTAACGATCCAGGCTTCACTTCCATGTGCCAACATAGGTCTTACTGAACTACTATATCTGCTAAGTTTAGAATGAAGAAAGCAGTCTTCTGGGATTTGGCACCGTGTATATGTGGTGTTAACCGACGTTTCGGAGGAACGTATCGCTTCCATCTTCAGGGTAGGAAAAAAATATAAGAAATCCACAAGCGAAGAGATCGTGAGAACCGGTAAAAGCAGACTGCTTATTATTTTCCCTAACAATAAAATGTTTATTACTGTTATATGAATCTTCTGAATATCAGAAAGCACAATGTCTTGCAGCAGTGCAGTCTTTGAAATAATATGGGCCTAAATGTAATACCCCTGAGGAAGGCCAGGGCTCACAAAGGGCTGTTGTGCCAGCGATGATGATGATGATAATGATGATGAAATGTAATACCTCAATAATTGAATGTGATATTTTCATTCTGATGCTATTATTTTGTAAACATTTTTTCTTGTATATCTGGATGCCCTGATTGGAAATGTGCAACATTAAAATATTGAGATACTGCTGTGTTTAACAAAGTGATGGTTACTCTGTGGACATCATAGAATAGAATGTAGAGATTATGTACACATTCACAAGAAAGTTTATGATGAGAAGCTGGTGAAGATTGTGATCTAGTTCTTGCTTCATCCATTTTTCCCAAAAAATGCACTGTCAGTGGATCGTTATTTGCAGAGCCAATATGACACAAGATTATAACAGCCGGTACACACAGACATTTAACAATCATTCAAAATCACTTGCAATGCATTAACACAGGAAAAAAAAAACTCTTTTACACATTTTGAAATACACTTGCTGCAGCCAGTGGAAATATACTCTATGGTTTTTACTGCATGTAAGTATAAAAATCAGACATTTTTGTCCCCTGATCATCTTGCAAGGATCTGCTGACACACAAATCCTCCTCCAAACAATAATAATTACATAAATAGTTTGATTACAAATGAAGAAATTTTCACAAATATTTGATTAATTGCAGCCCTATTTCAAAAAATTTTGGAATTTTCTTAATAAATATTTGAACAAGCATTAGCAAAATTAATAAATGCTCATGTTTCTATCATTTACTGTGCATACTGCCTGCCGCCTTATAACTTTTCTGTTCTCCATGTTGGCAAGGACCACTTGCCAGCATTTTCAAGGTTTCGAGATCACCCTCACGTGCAGCAGCTAGGAGACGTTCTTCCTTTCGACGCGCTTCTGTCTGTTCAGCTGCATGAAGTAGTTTGGTAACATCTTCAAGCTTGGCAACATCCCTGGGTGTCTGGCCCTCACCATTTATGACATTAACATCTGCATTGTGCTGAAGAAGCAACAGTACTAAGTCCTGTAATACCAAAATTAAGATGTAACTTCAATATCAGCGTCATGTCACACCTCACTGACTGCTTATTTTCTTAATGACCAATGTATCTTCTGAGACTAAATAATGTGGCATATTTGATTAACGTATTGCCAGGCAACAGCTCTGTAAACACCCACAACAGCAGAGCATTGGTACTTGCCACAAAATTCTGTCTGATGTGCTGAAATTGTCTCATGTTACCAAGCACCGTGTTCCACGTGTCCTGACACAAGACCAACATGACAATTGCATGAGCATTTGCAGTGCCCTGATCAATAGTGCTGAGAAAGATGAGACATTTCTCAACCAAATCATAACAGGAGATGGAACATGGTGTTTTCTGTACAATCCGCAACTGAAGCAACAAGTGGCCACCTGGAAATTGCCATCATCGCCAAGAAAGAAGAATCCTTAACAGTACAGGTCAAAAGGCATGGTAATGCTTGAACTGTTTTTTGCCTCATCCACAATTGTTCACATGGAATTCATCCCAGAAGGAATGATTGTAAACAAACACCGCTACAACGAGATCCTTCACCATGTAGGCAATTCAATTCGTCAAAAATGTCCTAAGCTTTGGCATAGAAAGATCTTCCTGTTGCTACATGACAATGCCCCTGAACATCGCTCCGTGCTTGTCCAAAGTAGCTGGCAAAACAACAGGTCATCGTTTTGCCACACCCTCCACACTCACCTGATCTCACACCATGCAATTTTTTTCCCCCCCCACTTGAAAGAAAAGCTACCTGGCTGTCGATTTCAGTCGGCAGAGGAGATCATCACTGTCACAAGGAAAGCTGTATGGGACCTTCCTGCAAATATCTTTCAACAGTGTTCCAGCAGCTAAACCAAGTTGGCAGACTTGCATAGCTGCCAATGGTGACTATTTTGAGGGAGGATTTGGATATGTGTTAAGTGTATGCAAGTACCTTGTACTATGGTGCAACAAAACCACAGTCCACGAAATTACTGACTGAGGTAGTAAACACATATACAGACACATTGAGAGCCTGCCACAAATCAAGTGGCCAGTCCAGTGTACAAAAGACAAAACCCTCAAGCTAACTCTTTCTGCACATTTGAACCTGCAGTGCAATCAAGAATCTGACAAAAGTTGTGCATGGAACATTGTCAGAATGGCCAACTGCTTCACTTCAGGGTCTCAAATCATTTCCCTGTATATAAGATTTACAAGAAGACCCATGATTCAGTGCCTGTTAAGCATTTCTTGTTAATATAAATTCATCAACAAGGCAAAAGTTTAGTTAAAAGAAATTTTTTCAGTTATTTTAAACTATTTACTCTTAGTGGATAAGGATGGAATCTTTAGGGGGGGTCCTTCTCCTGTCGTTTTATCCTGGCATAGTAACAAAACTTCTATGAACTGTAAGGTTAGCAAGTGATCTGTGACAATCACTTTTGTGTCCCATACTCACTGCATGAATTTGTCTGAAACATTTATCAGATGCCTATTATTTCAACTAATATTCATTATGGTAATATATGAAACTTCTTCAATCATTTCCGGCATGATTACCCTTTCTAAGCACCTGCAATGGTTCTAATTACTTCCCTGTATACCAGAAATATTTTATTATTTTTAGACAAACAATAAAAATGTTCTCACAGCAGTGGTTACAAAGAATTATGCCTTTTGGGATATAATACCATGTCGTCCCATGACTTTCAATGGACAATGCAACATTATATCACAGAAGACATAGTGCTTCATTATCACGAGTGCCTGGAGGTACAATGTACACCATTACTAGCAAAAACTGTCTATTCTACATTAAACAAAATCAGTCATTAACACCTTGGTAAAATCAGAGAAAGTTCCTCATACATCCCTTCCATTACTGGGTGACTGTAATATTTCACGCTTCAGTGTGTATGCAGCTTTAACCAAAATTCTGTTTGGGTTTAAATGGAGGAATACTCTACTCAGAACTGTTTCAAGTATTTCAGAAAACTCACTTAAAACAGAAAGTGGCTATCACATCTATGATAGTGTTTCATTGTGAATTGCTCTGAACATTAGCAGTTCATAATTTAATGTCTGATGAAGTCTGTAAGAAACACACACATTCTTTGTGGGTGGATAAAACCTTGCAAACTCCAAATCCAGAGTAAAAATTATCCTTAAAAGAAAGGCCAAGTCATACCTCTCTGCCAATAAATGCTGCCTTATGCAATGGAGTGTCACCAGCATCATTGACTGCATTTATATCTGCACCATGTGCCAACAACTGCTCTGCTACACTACGATGTCCAAAATAGGTTGATAGGTGTAGTGGTGTCCAACCCAGATTACTTTTGCTCCTACCTATATATCGCATAAAAATAACGCTTCATACCAGCTGCGTAAAACCAAACACATAAAAATATTAATGAACAAACAATTATCTCGGCTATTTAATGGAAACAGAGGAAGATATTACAACTGTTCAAAAATCTCTGCATATGGGGTATGAAAGTTAATAAACTTTGAAGGACAAGTACCTTTACAGCTTATGTCCAAAATGATCTTATTTTCTTGCCGTGCAGAGAGTAATTCTTGCACCATAGTTTCATCTCCATGCCGGGAACTACATAATAAAATTTCTTGTAGCTCCATTTCTGTAGAGTCTTTGTTCATTTTTTAACTACTCCGTACAATCATTTAAAGTTCCAAAACTCAAAATGCAATGCCAATGACAGCAGACTAGAGACCAAAACGATGCATAAATAAATCTTTCTTGTCAAATGAATGCCATAACCTTATTCTGAATTTTTCTTCTTTTGCTGAAATTCACATCAATGCACTTTTCTGAGTATCTGACGCATTTTGTCATATCCAATTAGTCCCATACACAGTAAAGTACTTGAATGTAGTATAACAGCTACTTTTTGTCATCACATGACATAACATGCTGTCACACATTCTTCTCCATGTACACTTCCTTGCCTTCCTTGCGCGCTTCTCTTCGGTTCACATCGTTACTACCAGCCGTGTTCAATGTTATTATCGGCAACGTCGCCGCAGTACCGGCACGAATTTAATTATTCTGCCATCTATTTACAGCATTCAGGTTAAAACTGCCAAATGGCAGAAGCTACTGCCGAGAGCTCAGTCGACAGAAACGTTAGCTAATATTCCCAGTACAAACCTACGTACTAAGCATACGAGTATATAAGTTTCCTTTTTGTAAGAGAGATTCAAATTATGGTAACAGGAATGTAGGCGTTTAGTTATTCCCCGAACTTCTTTATAACATCACCCTCCTGTACATGTCCAAGTAGTCCATGTACAAACCTACGTACTAAGCATACGAGTATATGTGTTTCCTTTTTGTAAGAGAGATTCAAATTATGGTAACAGGAATGTAGGCGTTTAGTTATTCCCCGAACTTCTTTATAACATCACCCTCCTGTACATGTCCAAGTAGTCCATGTGGACATCTCCATCCAGGTTTCCCGAAAAGAAAGAAAAAAAAAAGTATTTTTCACCCATTTCTTGTTTTGCCCCATGTGCGCTTACTTCCTCCTTGGCTTGGTTCATTATAATAATACTTCTTGAAAATCACAAGTTGTTTGAGAACAGGGTGCTGAGGAGAATATTTGGACCAAAGAGAGATGAAGTGACAGGAGGTTGGAGAAAGCTGACCGAGTATAATGAGAAGCTTCGTAACTTGTAGACTTTGTCAAGAATAATTAGAATAATCAAGTGAAGGAGGGTGAGATGGGCAGAGCATGTAGCACGAACGAGAGAGAAGAGAAATGAATATAGGGTATAGGTGAGAAAACCGGAAGGAAAGAGGACACTAGGAAGACCAAGCCGTAGGTGGGTGGATAATATTTAAACGGACCTTAGAGAGATAGGACGGGTGGTATGAACTGGATTGATCGGCCTCAGGATAGCGACCAGTGGAGGGCTCTTATGAACACGATAATGAACTATCTGGTTCGATAAAATGCTGGGAAGTTCTTGAGTAGCTGCACAATTTACAGCTTCTCAGGAATGGCTCAGGTCCATGAAGTTAGTTAGAAAGATGCAAGATATGAAGTTCCTAATGATACAATCATCGTCGGTCTCTTATTAGTCTCCTAAACCTTGGAAGACACCAAGAGGCAGCAAAGAGGGAAGAGGGAAAGGTAATGATTTGCTGCCCTATTCAGCTTACTCCATCCTGGACTCATTTTACTGTATTGGAAATAAAAACTACATATTTATATAAGTAATTGATATGTCAATCAGTTTAATTTACATCATAACAACATCCATTACTGTCACTATTCACAGCAACTTAGTTAAGACATCCTGCACATATAATGTTATTAACATTTTTACATTGATGCTTTGAGCAACTCTCCATCAGTACTAAATGCTGATAAATATTTCAGCTATGTATAATATAGTTACTGCACAGTTTCAGGGCAGAGTGGGGGAAATATGGAAGTATTATTCATATGAGTAATGAGTAATAACACAAAATTTACAAGAAAAGAAAAGAATTGTTCTATATACATACAGTAAATTTTCTATGTATACAAAAATAAAAATATGAAATCATACAATAATGTACAACCAATAAAATCTATTATTAACGATATTTTTATGGAGGAATTAAATATCAAACCTCTGAGAAAACCCTGACTTCGATATGAGGGATATCAGTAGAGTGATTTTAACCACACAAGATGGTTCTGTGGGACAAATAATCTAACATGCAAGTGCCATGGACAGATTTTTGTCAGTAAAATAGCCCTTTCAGGTTTCATTTTAATACAAACAAAAACTGAGAAATACTCATACCATACATATTTTAAGAATTCTGGTACCTTCTTCTATGTCGATCATATTCAAATAGTGGGACCATACACTGACTGGAGCCATCTGTACCACCAGTGAGTACAAAAATTTAAATATCCAGTTAAAGCACAAAGTCTTGAATTCAAATGTCAGTCTACCTCAAATTTTCATTACTCCAAATTCTTCGAAAGATATGGATTTCATTCTCATATTATTATTATAATAATAATATAATAATAGAGAATAATAATAATAATTTATTATTATTATTCTCTATTATTACCCACAAACTGGATGAACTACAAAACCAAACAAAAATTTCTGGATTTCTGGAATTGATATTACTACCTCCAAATTAACTGTGTCTATAGCCATGGCCTCTGACTGTTCTTTTCTCTGCCTCTACCCCAAACAGAATTGTTTTCATAGTCTACAAAAGTGATGATGACCAGGGTTTGAAAAACATGGTCACTGACTCACATGGGATAATAAGTACACAATAATCTGTATTAAGAGACTGTAATACTTCTCTGCAGGAAATAAAATTGTAAGGAAGCAATTACACCTTAAAAAGAAAATTTGAAATCTGTACTACATGCATTATTTTTATTTCAGTTCAGATTTCACTTGTTACCGTGTTTTACCATTTGTGTAAGTGTGTGTTTGTCTCTTTGCTTGTGCTTACTTTATAACTGAACTTTGGCCTGTTTCATTAAGCACATAAATCACACATGTAAAGTAACATTTAAGAAAAAAAAAATGTTAACCACTGGACTGGCAAATTACATTTTAGTTTATGTCATTTAATTTTTCAAGCCCTGGTGATGATACAACATGAAAGTAATAATGTAAACCGAACACAGCTCCCAGAGGAATACCATATGCAAAGAGCACTTGTCCATGTGACACAGTGAAGTCCTGATATGAAACTGCAGACAGGCAGCTACAATTATATAATTGTGGCCTCAACACGGGCCTACATTACACAATCATATTACGTATATTGTATTTTAAGTCTCTACTATATAAGTCAGAGTTTAATTAAATTAAATGGACGGTTATACACTAGTAAGGAGTACTTCTTTTGGCTTATTTTGGACTTCACCCATCGCCTGGTATGTAAAAGACAAAAAACGACATTTCGGAGACTGGATCTGTCTCCGTCTTCAGGTGAATAGGGAAGGATAAACCTACTCAGTTGGGCCCCTTAGAAAGAGCTAGTCTCAATCACTGGACCTTTTTTTTTATTGTGCTTGTGTTCACGGATTCGAACAGCCAGTGGTCTAGCTGTTTCACCAATGTAGCTTCTGCTATAGACGCACTGTACCGTCTGTTGAGGATCCCTTTTTGGTCTCGTTCTCACGTGCGAAGATCGTAAAGTGTGTTTAGTTTTGAAGACGGTCCTAATATTATACTGGTTCCCTATGCACTTGAACTTCTCAGAGATTCCCTTGACATACGGGACGTACACCGTGCCAAGAGGCTTTTCCTCTTTTTTCTTTTGACGACTACCGCCCTTGGACCTGATAACCGAGTCAATAAAGCCTTGAGAGTAACCACTCAGTTGAAGGTCACGTTTCAAATTGTTAACCTCCAACACCCGGTCTTGCCGGTCTTGGCATATAGTGGTAGCTCTATCATGAACGATCATGAAGGCTATGAACAATTCCTCTTTTGACATGCGGGGGGTGATTGAGACTAGCTCTTTCTAAGGGGCCCATCTGAGTAGGTCTATCCTTCCCTATCCATTTTAAGACGGAGACAGATCCAGTCTCAGAAACGTCATGGTTTTTTGTCTTTTACATACCAGACGATGATGGGTGAAGTCCAAAATAAGCCAAAAGAAGTACAGTATACGCCATCGTCAGAATCCTTTCAAGTCTAACTAGTAAGGAGGTTGGTCTAGAAGAAAGCACAGAGAAAACTAAGTATATGTTGCTGTCTCATCACCATAATGCAGGGCAATATCATGACATAAAGATAGGAAACAGAAGTTTGGAAAATGTGGCATAATTCAGATATTTGGGAACAAATATAAATGAAAACCTGATTCAGGAGGAAATTAAGAGGAGATTGAACTCAGGTAATGCTTGCTACCATTCAGTCCAGAACATTTTGTCTTCTTGTCTGCTGTCCAAAAACATAAAAATTAGAATATACAAAACTATAATTCTGCCTGTGGTTCTGTATGGGTGTGAAACTTGGTCTCTGACATTAAGGGAGGAACATAGAGTGAGGGTGTTTGAGAACAGGGTATTGAGGAGAATATTTGGACCGAAGAGAGATGAAGTGACAGAAGGTTGGAGAAAACTGCATAATGAGGAGCATCATAACTTGTACTCTTCTCTGAGTATAATTAGAATGACCAAGTCAAGGAGGATGAGGTGGGCAGGACATGTAGCACGAATTGGGGATACCAGGAATGCATATAGGATATTGGTGGGAAAGCCAGAAGGAAAGAGACCACCGGCAAGACCAAGGCGTGGGTGGGTGAACAATATGAAAATGGATCTTCGAGGGATTGGGTGGGGTGGGGTGGAATGGAAAGGATTTGTCTGGCTGATTATAGAGACAAATGGAGGGCTCTTGTGAACACAGTAATGAACCTTCAGGTTCCATAAAATGTTGGGAAATTGTTGAGTAGGTGCAGATTTGGCCGCTCCTCAAGAAGGGCTCAGCTCCATGAGTAAGTAAGTAAGTATGACTATGCAGTACTTATCCCTATCTCTGTTACCTTCACTATAACATCCTCCTTCAGACGGAGCACTGGTACATGGACAGAACTGACAAATATACTTGTCATCAACTTTCACCAATATAATTAGGTTTCACTTCAGTAAACAGTAACAAGAATAAAGTGAAAGAAAGAAGAAGAGACAATCTCACTTGATATAAAATTATAACATAGCATTTTCACTTCATTATTATTTGGAATAACATTGTTCACACAAGATAACTTTGTTTCTGAACAGCTGAAATGAACAGTGATACCTGCATTTGTAATATCACTGTTCACCACTGCAATATATAAAAGTCACTCAAGGGTGGATTACTGTGTGAAATTTTAAACTCTGAAAGATGTAAATATTAATATTTTCATACTTAAGTTTGAAAGATCTATTGCAACAGTACACATACATATGGACAGATGGTGCAAGAGCTTCATGAAAA